CTGTTCAGGAGGGTTAGGGGTCTCCAATTCTTAATAAAGAACGGTTCTGCGTCTTTCTTAGGGATAAGTTTGATAATTCCTCTTCTCTGGGTTATTGAGAGTTTTCCAGTTTCATAAGCGTAGTTCAGTGCGCTAATTAGGGTGCTGGATACATCTTTCCAAAACACTTTGTAAAATTCGGCTGGTAGGCCGTCGGTCCCAGGGGTCTTTTCTGATTCCATATCTCTTAAAGCCTCAAGGCACTCTTTTTCAGTTAAAACTCCTTCGCACGAAGTTAATTCATGTTCGTCAATGGCTCTTTCATCACCACCCTCAAAGAAAACAGTTGTACCATCTTGGTTGTATGTGTTACCTTTGGATGAGTAGAGATTTTTATAGAACGCCACACATTCAGTTAATATTTTTTTATCCGAGGTGACAAATTCGCTATCGTTTATTTTAATTTGACTTATTGTCCCTTGCTTGTAGTGTCGTTTTTCTAAATTAAGAAAATACTTGGTGTTTTTCTCTCCTTCATTATACCATTTAGACTTAGATCTCAAAATTGCGCCTTTGGTGCGGATTTCAATTATCTTTTCAAGCTCAAGCCTGCTTTCATTCAATTGTTCCTCCAGGTGTAAGGAGTGCATTTCATCGGAGTTTTTATTATCGAGATCCGCTTCTAATCTGGCAATTGTTTGTTCCAGAAATGTTTCGCGTTGTTTAGCTTGCTTTGTTTTGCTCTTGGAGTAGCGGAGCGATTTTTCGCGCACTTTTAGCTTTATCATTTCCCAAAGAAGTGAAGGATTTACCGATTCGTCATTTTTGTACTCATCGAGTGTTTCCTGAATCGTTGTTTTAATTTGGTTTACGTAATCCAATTCAGTTAAAAAAGATGTGTTTAGTTTCCAGAAACCTGGTCCACGTAGATTTGAATGTAGTGATAAGCATAACGTAGTCATTGAGTGGTCGGTTTTATAACCTGGGACGATATCTGCGAGGGTCGTGATGTTAACTGTGCTTTGGCTTACTAGAAAAAAATCGAGCCTACAGTGTACTTTTGGATGACGTTGTCTCCAGGTAAATCTACTAGTGTCTGGGTGTAGAATCCTCCAGACGTCTACCAGATCTAGTTTCTCAGAGAATTCTTGAACAACTTTAACACTATTTTGGTGAGTTTTAGTAAGACCACCCATCTTGTCCTTCTCTAAATCCAGTACAAGGTTGTAGTCGCCTCCTATAATAATATCATCACATTTGAAATCTGCAAGGTGATCAAAGAAGTCAAGGAAGAAAGTTGGGTTGTCTTCATTAGGAGCATATATGTTCCCTAAAGTAAAACACTTTTCATTGGTTTTAATGTCGCAAATAATGAAGCGTCCTTGGGGGTCAGTGTAAGTTTTTTCTATTTGAAAATCGAAGTTGTTGTTGAAAAGGATGCATACCCCTGCTTTATTGCTCTTATAAGTACTAAAAATAGCTTGATAGCCCCATTCAGCAGACCATACGTGATTAGTATTTTCAGTGCAGTGGACTTCTTGTAGCATATATGCCGAGTAATTTTTTTTGCGAAGCCAATTAAACACCTCTCTACGCTTTGTATTGTCTCTTAATCCCCTGACGTTTAGTGATGCTATTGTCAAAGCCATAGATATTCTCTTGGGCAGCTTTGCAGAGGAAGCCTTACATCACCTGGTGTCAAAGCTCCACAATC